TATATGTGGGTCTGTGTCCATGTGTTTGCATTTTTTGGCATTTATTTCCAACTAGAGAGCCAGAAAGTTAGAAAGCTGAAACTTCGGAAATATGTGCCCGCCCCACATGTTGCTCCCTTTCAAATTATCAGTCACGTACTCTTAGAGCTTGCGTACGGGTGCTTAAAAAATACATGTAAGTTTTCCGACAGGAAAGCGATCTCGAGAACCACAGGAGGCAGAGCGCTGAAGCTTTGCAGAATATTCTCAGTTCCTGTATGAGCTAAAAATTTCAAATTCAACTATCCACACCTACACAGCACATGCGTTTCCTCCAGATTTCACAGTTGGAGCCGCTCTAACTCGAAAAGTGACAAAGAAACAGCAGCTAAAATTTTGTCAGAAAATTTATCAACTATCTGGAAACTCGAATATCTAAATGGAGTTTCGAACTGTGCTTGGTCCACGCCTTAGAGCGTGTCAAAGATATTCGCAGCGAAGAAGTGATTTAGCTTACCCGAAAAGCTGTGAAGATGGAACTTTGCAGGGATATTCTCTATTCGTGTTTGATCTTAATTCAGCTTGGAGACAAAACTTCCTGCATGCGGAAATGATAAAGTTTTGTCGCAAATTCAAAAGCGACAACATTTTGCGGATTTCGGAATTCTTTTTCGGCAACCTGTGCATCATCAAGTTTTGCATTTTCCCAAAACAGCTGCTCACTGGAGAAACGGCATCGCTTCATGCAAAATTGAAAATCATACACGCTGTAAGTTTTAGCAGCCCCATAATGCAACAACTCCATCTCGGTCGCCACTTTTTTCTTATTGCATGCAAGAAAAGGCCAAAACGCAATTAGCATGAGTTCACGCATTAAATGGTAACGCATGAACCATATATCGTGTTAACGGTCTGACTGCTGCACGTTTGGTGAAAAAGGGTGTAATCATACCGACAAACCTGATGCTTTGCAGCCAGGATTACAAATGTTGTAACTGAAAGTTTCTTTTTAATTGCTGAGTGAGCGGAACAAACTGCATCGTTAACCTTTTCCCAACTTGGCGGAGCTGAGTTTTATTAATTGCTTTTGAAATTAAATCGCTTTTAACGAACTGTTTTTCAAGTGCAGAATTTTATTTATGCATCTTTGCTCATTTCCTCAACAAAAGAGCCACACATCGTTCGCAGATGAAACAAGATCGCTTCTTTTTACAAATCCCACCTCTCACAAGGAATCTCGTGTTAATATCACATGGCCATTCGTCCCATTTCCTCCGCCAGTCTGGGAAAGTAGCGGCACATGAATCACTGCGTAAATTTATGTTGTTTTCTTTGTAATACCAAGCATTATAATCAAACGGTGTTCCATCCGTCCAATTGTATTCTTTCGGCTTATATGTCGTCAGTCCAATAAATGCGCCCCCGTAGAGATCAGGTGTCTTCAGCAACGTCTGCAAAATAATTAAATTCTAATATTTTCTGGGTGTCTTGAAATTTCTGGCTGGGTATGTGCGAAGATGATCGATATGTTGTCTAGCTCCTAAGCTGCGAAATTTTCTTCCAAAAATTTCACGTTTCGGTATGTGAAAGATAAATTTCGGATCTTTAGGTATGGGACATGCTCCCAAAATTTCATTTTCGTGGTTTTCCGGCCTTCAAATTAGCATTTATGCCGAAACTCTGACTTGACCGTACTTGGGGCATAGACAAACGTGTGAGTTGAGTCTGTGTTTGTAAGTCCCATGCATAAGCAAGAGACACCTTCCTGAAATCTCGGTCTCCTAGGAATTTCGTTTTCCAAGATAATTTTCCTTGGCAAAACTTTCACGAGGCCGTACGTGATGCGTATGCACATGGGGAGACTGATTTAAATATGAGGAGTCGCATTCGGGAAGAAAAAATTCTCATAAAATTGCAACTTTTCCTAACTTTTTTGGTTCCCGACTTGAAAACGTGGGATAAAACGCATTCGGACACACAGAAAGGGGTGCAACAATATGCGCTTTGTGTTGCTGTTAAACAGCACAAAACGCAGGAAGACATTTGCAACTGCCACTCACTGTGCTTGTTGTCAGATATGAAAAAGTTTTGCAATTGCAAGACTGCGTAACAACAAAATTGGTTGTCCATGAAAATCGGCAGGCTCCAGAGAACGGTTTTGAATTGTCAACGGCACTTCCGCGCGAACACAAATCCAAGGAGCGCAGGCTGACAAATTATGTCTGGCATTTGTCAATTTCAAGAATTCACTTTACAGACCACAACGCCGTTCAGGCACAAATTTGGATATTGTGAGCAGTTTGAGTAATTTATGGAGATTATATTCCTCAGTAAATTCGAAAAATAAGACCAGGCAAAGACGTGAAGCAAAACAAGATTTTAGCAATCGCAAGCTAGAACCGGCGTGCCTAGGCTGTAAGGAAGCAAAAGATAAGCATGAAGGATCAGGAGAAAGGAATCAATTTCTCATCAGAACAAAAAAGAATGAGCAAGTTGTGACCATTGGCATTATCCTTCGAGGGGTACAAAATACTTATGAATTTGATTGTTGTGTTCAGTGAGCGTATGTATTCACGACCACGGCAAAAAGCCAATCCCAAATTAAACTGAATTTATATGCTAAGGAGCTAACAGTGAAAAATAACTGCTGCGTAAGACATCCGCCT